GGGCGTGGGCATCGAATTGGGTAGAGGCGAGGGGACCCCTGTCCTCAGGATTGGAACTGAGTCTGGGGTCCCTGGTCCTTACCCTGGGGTCCAGCAGGTGGGGGAAGAGCCTCGAGATGGTGCGGTTGAGGGTCAGTCTCCAGGCCGGGGCAGCGGCATGGTGGCCCCGCAGCGGGCGGCCCGGGAGGCAGAGGTGGTGGCTGCGGTGGCGTGGGGCCTGCTAGGCCAGGCGGCCTCACCTGAGGAGGCCGGACTGGAGCTGCAGAGGGGCGCAGGGGCGCAGGGGCGCGGGAGCCAGGCGGCCCAAGGTGTCGGACCCGGATCCGAGGGAACTAGGTGGAAGGGCCTGGCTGTCCCAAGCCCACTTGGCCACTGCCACTTCTCCTGCCCCGCCCATCCCCTGTCCCTTGCCCCTGCCCCGCCCATCCCCTGTCCCTCTCCCGGTTCCCACCTCAGCCCCCTCCCTTTTCAGAGCCCCTTTCCGTCCCCTCACCAACACCTGTCGCCTCTACCCCTTCCCTGTCCCCGGCCCAGGGCGGCCTCTGGCCTCTGCCGCAGGGTCCTGCTCCTCCCGCCAGCCCCCTCCCCCAGCTGCTTTCCTACAAGTCACGGGGGCTCGTTTGCTTTGGCAGCCTCCCTGCCGCCTGCCGCGGTGACCTCTGGAGCCGGGAAAGTCCTAGGTAGGGGGATGGGGGCTTGGCCTGGAAAAGGCTACACTGAGTGCTGAGGCCCAGGCCAAGTGGCCGGAAGTGGCCAGAGCAGATACACGCTGTCCCGCCAGCAACCAAGAGCCATCCACGTCAGACCCCAGGCCAGATCAACACCCAGACGGGCCAGGTCGCCAGCAGCCACTTGCCCGCCGTCAGACCAGGACCGCTCACCCCAGATGGGTCGTCCCTGCACAATTAGGTCCACCTGCTCAACCCACAGGGCCCCTGTCCAGTCCAACCCACAGACCCCAGCCGCGGCCCTGCCCAGCTGACACTGGTTTCGCCTGCCTGGGGCTGGCCCCCAATCTCTCTCCCTGCACCCCCAAGGCTCAGAGGCTCCTCCTTGCTGGCTCCGGCTTCCTCCCCCGCCTCTCAGCCCCCACTGAGCTAATGACTCCCCTCAACCAGGCTTTAATCAAGTTCTAAGTGGCTCCGTAGGCTCCCCACTGAGTCCCTAACTCCCTGAGGTCCCCGCTGCCTCCTGGGAGGGAGGATCCCGGGGCAATCTCAGGCTTTGGGACTTGGGGGGCCCCCGGCAGAGCGGGTGCCTGGGCTCACTCACAAGACAGACGGGGAATCAAGTCCAAGAATCTTTATTTCATGAACAAAACTACTTCTGTAAAGAGAGACGAGGCAGAATGGGCCCCTTTCTAAGTGGCCACGATCCAAGGCTGGTGAGAGAGGGCGGGTGGGGCCGGGGCAAGAGTGCATTACAGGGACAGGGGACCCCAGGTCCAGCCGGAGGAAGCAGGAGGGGAAATGATGCTGGGGTCGCAGTGGGTACCAGAACCACCTGCCCCAACTGTTCCAGCCCATCACGACCCCTCCCCCAGGGCCGGGCAAGGACGGGGCAGGGACAGGCTGGGCCCAGCAGTGCACGTCCAAAGCGGCCCATGATGTGTGCAAATCAGCAAGAAGAAGGGGTGCGGAGCCGCTGCCCCCGCCTCACCGACCCCTCCCCAAACAGGCAGCAGAAGCAGGGGGAGGGGCAGCGGCAGTATTGCTTTACCCATCATGCATGGCGGTGGGTGGGCAAGGAGCAAGAGGAAGAAGGCCGAGTTGGGGTGTGAGCCGAGCCAGTCCCCCTGCCCCCTCCCTCCCTGGCGGCTCTGTTGGCAGGACTCTTGAGGCTCGTGACCAGCCCCCTCTGGGGGCAGGCTGTCCCCCATCAGGGCTGGCTCTTCCTTGAGGCAGAGCCCAGGACCTAGAGGGGAGGGAGAGATAGGGAATTAGGGACCCAGTAGGCCAAAACTCTGGGGGACCCCGAGTCCCTGTCCACCGGCCTTACCAGGGCTATTCGGCCACCTGGACGCCAGTACAGTTCTCTTTGCTTTCCGAAGTGATAGCCAGGTACTCCGAGCTGTGGGGGGGAAGGCCAGGTATTCAGTGACCCCGATCACCAGTCTGGCCCCCCTCCCAGGAGAATGAGGAAGGTTGAGGCCTTTGCCCCTGAGTTAGAGGGGAGGGGGCTGTGGGCTGGACTCCCGGGTGTAAGGGAAGAAGGATCTGGAACCTCACAACCTGCTCCGGCTCTGGGGAGCACAGACAGGTGGCACCCTGGCTTGCTCTCTTGCCCCCCCACCCCTCCCATGCAGCTCACACCCACTCCAGGAAGTCTGGAGGCGCCTCGGTGGCCTTGGCCGTCCCCTCCCACCCCACTCACGCATTCTCTTGCGCAGCGGCCTCCGTGGCAGCCGCGATCTTCTTATAGCAGTAAACCATCTCGGCCACGAGCCATATGGTCAGTACCACGATGAGCACGTACATCATGATCTCAGACACGATGGACGCCATGTCTCTGTTGGCTGCGGGGACCAGGTGGGGTTCAGGTGGCAGCTGAGGCACCTGTCTCCACCTCAGGAGACAGGACACCTTCAAGTGTGTGGCGCACTTGCTGTGTGAGCTTGAGCAAGTGACTCAACCTCCCTGGACCTCCATTTCCCCATCTGCAAAACGTCCATAACCACAATACCTCCATGGAAGTGCTGTGAGAATTAAATAAGCTTTAAAGATGCTTAGACTAGTCCTCAACCTATCAAAACACTCAAAAAAAGTCATTATTATGATTATTACTGTTACAATTGGGGCAGTACTGCGTACTGCTTAGGAGCAGAGAGTCCAGACACAGGCAGCTGGAATGCAAATCCTGCCTCTTACTAGCTGTGCAACCTTGGGCCAGTGACTCCACCTCTCTGAGTCTTGATGCCCCCTCTGTAGAATGAGGATGATACTAATACCCTCTCCGGGGGTTGCCAGGAAGAGGAAATGAGTTAACACCCCTCCCTGCCATGCTTGGAGGACTTGCAAAACCACCGCGAAGTGTTGGCTACTCTCCGGAAGCCCTACATCCTTGCTGCAGCGCTGGCCCTGCCTGGGCCAGCTTCCTTTCATGGAGCCTAAATTTAAACTGCAAAGGGAACACATTCCGCCAGGGGACCAGAGTCACAGGCCACTTTGGCGTCCTCAGCCGGATATCACAGGAGGCCATGCACATCCCTGGTCCCCTCCTGGGTGGCCTCTTCCTCTGGCTGCTGTCCTCCTGGGGTCTTCCTCCCTGAGAGCCCTGCCCCTGCTCCTCCACCCCGTGCAGATGGCCCTGAGGCTTTCTGGGCCAGAGGAGGGAGGGGGCGGGCTGGACGCTCCCCTCCCCCCTCTCCCCCCTGCAGGGGAGCCTGGGGAGCTTCCGGGACTCACCCAGGTCCAGCAGCATGGCCCGCTCCTGGCCCGGCTCTGCGCTGCTTTCATCTGAGCGCCTCCCTGGCCCCCGGGACAGGCCCCAGGCTGGGGTTCCCAGGCTCCCCAGGGCAGGAACCACCTGAGCCCCTCACTGTCTGAATACATCTCAGTCCCTGGAGTCTCCCCGCTGTTCCTGGCGCTCTGTGCCCACGAAGATCTAGGTTAACCAGGAACCAGCCTTCCCTCTCCCAGTCAGATTGGGTCGGGGAAAGGCACAGTCTGTAGCCCCCCTCCAGACCAGGCTGCTGAGGCCCAGAGAAGGACAGGTGCTAGGCCAAGGGCACACAGCTACGCTGGGACTCGGAGCCAGGAACCAACCTCCAGTGCAACCAAACGCAGGGCTAGAGCTCCACTCTGTAACCCTTCCGCGACCAAAGAGGGGGTCACAGCTGCTGTGCACGAACAACATGGTCTCCATGAACCCCCCGCGGACATCTCAGGAGAGGGGCGGGACTGCCACTGGCCCACTTTACAGATGAGTAGCCAAGACAAAGAGTCACACAGAGGACCAGAGGCACCTTCTCTGGGGAGGCCTTTGATCTCTTAAAACACCCCAAATTTCTCGAGAGCTTTGCCGGCCCTGCCCACACAGGGGGCCCCAGATCTGAAGCCCTGGTGCAATTCTGCAGGCCAGATGGTCTCCAGTTTGGTTTTGTTTTTGGTACCAGGAATTGAACCCAGAGGTGCCTAACCACTGAGCCACATCCCCAGCCCTTTTTATATTTTATTTAGAGACAGGGCCTCAATGAATTGCTTAGCACCTTGCTAAGTTGCTGAGGCTGGCTTTGAACTTGTGATCCTCAGCCTCCTGAGCTGCTGGGATCACAGGCCCAGCCCGCAGCCCCCTCCTTTGGACCTGACTCGGTTCATTCCTCAGGGGCCACTACCAGGAGGCAATACAGGTTGATCGCTAACCCTGAAAGTGCAGCAAGACAGAAAGTAGGAATGATTTTTAAGACACGGGACGGCCAGGAATGCCAACAATACAGAGATATCATCAGTAATGGAAAACACTACAGCGGGTCATCATGTTGACTTTAGCACCATGGGTAGTGCTGAGCGCAGGGCAGCACCACAGGTGATACTGAACAGTACTACAGGGTCACCGGAAATGTCTTTAAACACCGGAGCACAGCATGGTGGACAAGGACGACAACACGAGATCACGGTGGGAAATGTCCCACAGACTCTGTCATTCTCCCAAAGAGAATGACAAGAAATGTGCGGTCCAGCCGGGCCTGGTGGTGCGTGCCTGCAGTTTCAGCAACTCAGAGGCTGAGGCAAGAAGATGGCAAGTTCAAGGTCAGATTCAGCAATTGAGCAAGACTTTCTGCAATGTAGTGAGACGCTGTCTCATACTAAAGAAATAAAAATAAAATAAACATTTTAAAAAGGACTGGGGATGTAGATCAGCAGTAAAGCACCCCTGGGTTGAACCCCCAGTACCAAAAGGAAAAAAAGAAGCAAACAAATCCCCCCCAAAAAACAATATCATAGAGAGTACAAAATAAAATACTAAGAGGGGGCATGTAAAAAGCCATACTCTAATAGGGTGGATAGGAAGCACTAGAATACGGTGTTAATGCTGAAAACATGGACTTCCAGAAGGCAGCACAAAGGACTCTATGTTGTGTTAAATATTGTTAAAATCGTAGGCTCTGGAAGGTGGCATGATAGGGTAGATAATGTGAGGAAGAGCACTGTTCCCAGGGCACGGGTGGGCCTGTGCTAAGCAGGTGAGGACAGCTCTCTGAGCAAGGGTCCATGGCCAAGATGGAAAAAAACAGGGGTCAACATTTCCTGGAGCCTCCCCACCTGCCTCCCCCTCTCCTCGGCACTGATTCCTGGTAGAGGAATAAGCCAGGTTTTGTAGAGGCCAGGAGGCCGGGCGTCTTTGTTAGACTCCTATGTCACTGTGACTCCATCTTTCGTGTCCAGGGCTGACCACCCACCCCACACGGTGACGTGGGCCACCGAGTGGCTCCCGTACATCTTCTGAATTGCCTTCTGCTGATCCACTTGGATAGGAAACGTAAAAATGCTAATTATATAAAGAGTCCCGCAGGCTCCGGCTGAGGAGGGAGTGCGGTGATTCATGCCAGGAACAGAAACGATCGTCACCCAGGAGCAGCTGGGTTCAGATCCAGGTCCTGACTCTGTCACCTTGGCCGTGAGATCTTCCCTCCCTGAGCCTCTGCTTTCTCATCTGCAAAATGGGGGCATAAGAACCCCTGGCCCCGAGGGTGGGCGGGAGGGCTCAGGGAGGGACTTCGGGGGAGGCGCTCAGGCCAGCAGGTCTCCTGGAGAGGGAGCGCGATGCGTGCAGACCTGAGGCTGTGTGTGCTGCGGTCCCAGGGGACGGACTTGCCGTGGCTCTTTGCTGGCTCCAGGCCTAAAGTAGCTTCCTGACTAAGCCAGTGAGCCACAGGGCCCTGGAAAATTCCAACTCATGCCAATCAGAGCACGGGCCAGAGAAGGGGTGGAGCCCCCGCAGAGCGGGGGTCTCAGGCAGCTGAAGCCGAACCCTGGAGACGGCGGACAAACCCCGGAGACCCTGCTGCCCACACTGGGGCCCCCAGCCCTATGGCACCCACCCCCCACTTTCGGAAACGCACTGGAGACGACTGTGGGCCACACAGATCTGCTGAGTCAGGCCACGCCCCTGAGCAAGCCGCTGGGGGCATGTGAGGCGCTCTCCTCTGGGTGACGTCCTCTGCCAGGTCAGACCCAGGCAGGACCAAGGCTATGGGCCATCAGAACCCGACCCTTGTCCTCCAGCACCAGGCCCCGCTGCGAGCCAGGCGCAGGACAGCAGCCGGTCTCCAGCCCCGCTCGACTCTCATAACTCCAGGGACATCGGAATGGCTCAAAGGACACCCCCCAAGGGGGGCACTCCTATCATCTCAGAGACAAGAAGGTACCTGCAGGAGGTCACACAGCACAGGCCACCAAGCTAGGTTTGGTACCTACAATGTCTGTGGGGAGGAGCCTGCTGTGACCTCTCCGGTGGGGTGAGGGGAAGTGGAGTCCAGAGCTGGGGGGCCACACAGGGGGATGGGTGGGGGGTGGGGACAGGCACAGACATGGACACGACGCTCCCGCTATTGCTGTGGGCGGTTGGCTGGCCCAGGCACGGAGCCAGCCAGGCCCCTATCTGCCATCTGTCCCTCCATCTGGCTCACGGTGGGCCACGGGGCGAAGGGGCGGGCAGGGCCCACTCACCTTTGTCCACCACCTCAAGGTGGATCTTTTTGACAACGCTGGTGTTGTGCTCATAGTTCTCAAAGAACAGCAGGCGGTAGACATGGCACTCGTAGTCACCTGAGTGGTTGTAGGTGACATTGGTGATGAAGATGGACAGGTCCTGCAGGTCCTTGGTGCCCCGGCTGCCATTCCACACCACGCGGCCCTCGAAGCGCTCGTCTTCCTCCAGCTGCAGCACCTCGTTCTCATAGCGCAGGATCTTGGGGGGGGAGGTGGGGGTCACTGCCTGGGCCCGTCTCCCCCAGCCCTGTCCCCTGATTCTGTCCCTTGCCGTGACACAGACGGCACACACATGGACTCAGTCACCTTAACCTCGGGCCAGATGGACGCAGAGGGGCTGGGATCGCATCTGGGACGGCTGAGACCTTGACTCTGCCTCTAGTCCTGAGGTACATGCACCCTCCGTCACCCTCCCAAGCCCCTCACGGTCTGCCATCCTTCCCCAGCCTCTGGACACGCACTTCAGGCAGGGACAGGGCAGCCTGATCCCAGCTGCTGTGGACCCCAGTTCTCTAGTGGTATCACATGCCCCCACCACAGGCAATTCCAAACACAGAGGATAAAGGATGTTAAAAAAAGAAGAAGAAAAAGAAAAAAAGTTCTGTTTTTTCTCCATGATGACTATTCACAACATTTTTGCTGATGCCAAATAATTCCAGGGACCTTCACTTCATGCCAGTCATATGCCGACTGCATTTATCCCTCACACAGCTCTATGGGCAGAAGACCTCTGCCACCCCATCATTACAGAGGAGGAAACTGAGGCTCAGAGAGGCCCAGGGACTTGCCCAAAGGCACCAGCTGGTCAGTGGTGGAGCCAGAATTTGAATCCAGGTCATCACTCCTAGCCACATTGTTATTATTAAGACAAGCAATCAAACAACCCCTGCCTCCAGAGCCAGCCCCACCAACTCCACACACAGTCACTTGCCCTCCGTGCCCACCCCGGGCACCCACACACCTTGACAAACTCCTCAGTGCCCTTCTGGCGGAAGGTCCACTCGGTGAAGGTCTCTGCGGTGGTCTCACTTCGACGCTTGCACGAGATGCACAGTATTTTGAAGGTCATCCCATACACAGCCTCAGTCTCTGAGTCCACCTCCACACAGCCCCCCCAGGCCGAGGACACTGCGGGGACAGCAGGCTCAAGTCGAGCAGAGGCGCCGGTCACCCTAGGCGATGCCCGGCTCACTGGCTGCTGACTCCCAGGGCCTTCAGAAACCATCTGTTTCCCCTCAGGAGTGATTACAGATCAACCGACCCATGTGCCAAGCAGGTTCTGCCTCTCCCTCCCTGTGTGACCTTGGCCAATCACTCAGCTCTGAGCCTCAGTTTACCTCTCTGTTTAGTAAAAGAACTGATCATCTTTGTTTCTAGTAGTTGTGCAGAATCCCTAAGGAGGTCCAGAAAACAGTTCTGTCAATGTGGTCAGTAACTCAGCCTGTGCCACCCAACTACCCCTCACTCAGAAGGTCCCTTGCCCAAAGCACCAAAGCATCCATCCAGGTGGCTGGACGAGAATCCCAGCTGCTTTACAAGTTCAAGGCGGCAGAGCCATTTCCACCACCCGACTGCTGTGCAAAACCAGGCATGGTTTAAGACAAGGGATGGCTTCAGCTCTGCTCCCTCCTCCCACGAGCCCCTGTGTGAGCCAGCCCCTCTGTCCCCTCTGCCCCAGGCTTCCTCCCCTCCAGACCTCCACCCCACCAATTAGTTTCTCAAAGGCTCTTTCCTCCCTTAGGGCCTTGCACCTCCACTGTATCCAGGCCGTTTGGGTCCCTCCTTCCCCTCTTACCTGCCACCCCCTCCCTGCCTCCCAGTGCTCTCCAGCTTCAGGTCTGGGTCTTTTCCTGGTCCCTGAGTCTCCTCCTCTCTGTATCTTCAGGGATTCTCCTCTGCTCCCCTGATGTCTCTGTTTCCCAAGCTCCTCTTTGGGGTCTCTCTGAAGGTCCTGACTTCGTGACTTCCTCTCCTCTTTGTAGGCTCAGAGTCACTCTGTTAGGTCTCTGTAGCCACCTTTGGATATTTCTTCCTTTTTAAATTCCACCCCGCATTCTCTCTCAGGTCTGGCTCCATCTCCCTCCCTCATCTCCCCATCTTCTGCCTCTCTCAAGTTTCTCTCTACCTTGCTTACACACTTCTCTTTCTCTCTCTCTCTCTCTCTCTCTCTCTCTCTCTCTCTCTCTCTCTCTCTCTCATCCCTCGGTCTCCCACTCTAGCCCCACATCCCCAGTCTCCCAGAGGAGCACTCGATGTCCTTCCATGTCTCTGGCCTCCTCCCTCCCGTCTCCATCTCTCCCAGTCTCAGTCTCTAGTCCCAGTCTCCGGGCACCGCCTTCCCCCCCCCC